ACAATATATTACATATGTTGTCGTTCTATCACTAATTCTACATAATACATATGTTTGTGTTTTGTTGTCATTAACACAATATATTACATATGTTGTCGTTCTATCACTAATTCTACATAATACATATGTTTGTGTTTTGTTGTCATTAACACAATATATTACATATGTTGTCGTTCTATCACTAATTCTACATAATACATATGTTTGTGTTTTGTTGTCACTAACACAATATATTACATATGTTGGCGTTCGGTCACTAATGCTATATAATACATATGATTAACTTGTTATCACTAACGCAACTTATTACATATGTAGGTGTTCCATCACCAATTCTACATATTACATATGTTCGTGATGGTGCAGGTTATATATCCTCATGTTTTGCGACCAGTCATCGTACAGTTTATAGATATCATTTTGCTTTTTAAAGCTCGTAGTTGCGTTTTACACATGCTCGTATTTTATCAGCATTTCTGAGGTTACATATGCATGTGATTTGTCATCAATAATATTACACTGTACAAGTATTTTATTATAGTTTCGACATTCTTTACCGTATTGCTTGAGTATAATTTGACATTTTTATTAAACCTAATCCTTATAGCTTTGCTTAGTCGTCAATGAATTTTCCTAACGCGAAAACAGCCCAGTAAATCGCGTATTATTTTTACAGCCGCATAACACTCTTGACACTGTTTGTTAATTTTGTCTCTTTAAGACTATTATCATTATGATGTAGCATGCAGCAACTGACGAACTGTTGTTGATCCCGGACTCAAGTTTGAAAAATAGCTCGTTAACTAATTCTAAAATAAAACATTAATAAACCTTAACATGTAAATATTTTCTCGTGTATTTTAATACTCATTCGTAGGTTCCCCGAAAAGGGGTCGAAGACCGTCTAGAGGAGTCATCTGTTTTAACCACTCGCACCACTATACAGTAGTGTGTTGTCTGTCAGTCAGTCAGTAGACACTAAAATGACGTCACACATGGGACGCGTAACGTTGCAATTTGTATTGTCTTGACGTCAGTAAAACATGAGAACACGCCATGAATCACGAGAAAGATTATGCACTCTGTAGGCTACAACACAGCATGATATATGAACTTCAAAAGCAATAAAGAAATATACCTGTTACTCTAAATTTTGGTTATTGCAAACTAAACACGTGGCACGTACGTACGAAACACAAATCAGTCTTTTTTTTTTCACCCAACAAACTTGTCATTTGTAAGTTATTTAACGTACAATGGAAGAGGAAGAAGACCATGTATTAGAAATTAGACTCACCAGTGTCATCCCGTGAAATGAATTAAGAATTATTATTGGAGACGACCCAAGAGACTGTCTCTTGTCGGCATCGGGCTTTAGATCTTATAGACCTGGGAGGGTCAGGTTTGTAGGTTCGTTTGAAATCTCCCCCCCAGCACACGATGAACAATTCCTATATAATATTATTTTATTACTACAAGGGGTCAGAGTTCAGCTAGTTCACATTCTCACTCTGACCATGCATTTGTCACATTTTTCGTTAATTTTTAATTTCTACGAGAGCATTTACACACACACACACACACACACATATATATATATATATTTACTTTTTTTTAAATGCTGTCACAGTAAATTAAAACTGATGATAATTTAGTAGTCTAGCATTAGTTGGCCTAAATTTATTTTTATTCCTTATATATATATTAACTGTTGAGAGGTACGTAGGGCTATCTTCATCATATATACAGTACCGATCAAGTTCGTATAGTAAGTCATTTTTGTGCCAATATTTCTGATGTCGTTGTCTGAAGAAGTGTTTCGTTCATATAGAATTCTGGTGGGTCTTTTTTGTGTTTTGTTAGTTTTGCAAAAACTACTAACTGATTATTTGGGACATTTATTTCAATGCGATATTTTTGGCAGTATTAGACTATTCTATTTAATCCAGGTTGTAGATTTGTGGCTGCAATTGATAGAGTGGAAGCACCTTTCCAGACTGCCACATCTTCTGCGAATTGTGACGAGTACCCGTCATTCGGGTCTTTTAGAGATATATTGTTAACATACATAATGAATACAATAGGGTTAACTAACCCTCCCTAAGGGACACCTGCCTCAGAAGTAAATGCCTCTGAGAAGGATCCCTCAACATTGATTCTACATTTTTTTTGTTTTCCAAAAGGTTTGACAGCCAGCAGATAATACCGCGCGGCAGTTCCATTTCTGACATGCGGCCTAAGACCATTGTGACATAGAGTGTCGAATGCTCTCTCAATATCGACAGTGCATCCCTTTTTATTAAAGCTGTCTATGATGGATTCAATTAATCTAACTAAATGATCAGTCGTTTGTCTGAATTTCCTGAATCCATTTGTACTTCGGGTAATTTAGATGTTATCTCCAGAAATGTGGAGAATCTGTTGATGATTATTCGTTCTAGAATTTTGCCTATGGTCAGGCTGATTGGACGTTAGCTATGGTACTGGTCAGGCTAAATGGATGGTAACTATGGTGCTGGTCAGGCTAAATGGATGGTAACTATGGTACTGGTCAGGCTGATTGGACGTTAGCTATGGTACTGGTCAGGCTAAATGGATGGTAACTATGGTGCTGGTCAGGCTGATTGGACGGTAGCTATG